CTAACAATCCAATACACATACTTAACAACTTTATAGAAGATGCCAAATGTACTAAAAAACAGATATGGATCCTATCATAGGATATGAGTAAAGCTTACAACTCAGTCAATATAAACCTCCTTAGCAAAGCTTTGCAATACTTAAACATGTCTATGCAACTTGTACAAATTATTATCAACCTGCTACAAAATCGTACAAATCAGGTTATTATCAACTATGGACTAACACCTCCCTACAACATACAAGACGGAATCAACCAAGGAGAAACAATAACCTCTCTTCTCTAGCATGTATACTATGACCCTTTAATCACTCATATCAATAAATAATATACTAGATACTCTTCCACAGTTGAGTGGATTACACAACTCAACCCTACAAAATACAAAAAAACATCAACATCTACCTTGGTACTTGTATATGTGGATAACACACTTTGGCTTGCCAAATTACTTGAACAATTACAACAAATTATACAAGCAGCATCTTCATTCTACACAATGGCACATATCAAAGTTAATCCACAAAAATCAATACTAATATCAACTACTCACCAAACTCCAAACATTAACTTTATGAACTACTTCATTCAAACACAACCTCAGCACACCTTATTTAAATTTTTAGGATGCTGGTTTACAGCTACACTTAAATAGACCACACAAATCAAACTTATTCAACAAGAAATACTTGGTCTTAATAATATACTTAAAACAAAAAACATAACTGACAAACAAGCTGCATATATTATTAATAATATTATAATCTCTACCTTAGAATACCGAATATATAATATTGTATTTCCTTGAACTACATGTAACTTCATTCTTTCACAATATCTCACCACTGCCAAACACAAAGCAAAACTATTCACAACTACTCCTAACAGTAAGTTCGACAGGGCAGCCCCCCTGAAGTCCAGTTATATGATCCTCGATGATCCACATCCTTCCGGATCCTCGATCGTAATGATCGACACCCTGCCGCAGCATCGATCTTATCCACTCAAGTGACCCTCATTGTACTCCCCTTTTGATTCGGTCAGTCTTTCTCCTCAATAGAACTTTCTTTTCTTTCATCTGAATAATTTAATCGGTTTTTTGCTTCATTGAACTTGCTTTTCTTTTTGTTTGTATTAGTTTTTCGCTCAATAGAACTTACTTTATTATATAAGGCCAAATCTTTAGCTTCTTTTCTATATTTACTAACAAATTTGCACTTTTTTTAAATAAAAAAGAAAGTACAAAAACGAAATGTTAAATCAAACATATAGAACACATTTATTTATAATTCAATGTTCGAAAATAATGTAATTTTAGTCACAAGAGAGGCATGGTGTTGAACATGCGATCTGGATATAATGATTTAAAAAAAAAACAAGCGAAAATAGAAGATTAAAATAATTGCGTTAAAGAATTTCAACTTAGATCGATACGATTATAATGAATAAATTCTATTCGATATTAAAAAATTTGAAAGGCTGGTTTAGTGTTTTTTTGCAACCCGGCTGTTTTATAAGTCTTTGAGAAAGCTTTTCAAATTGAACTTATAACTTTCAAATGATAATTGATTTATTTATATTTGTAAATAAAAAGGAGTTAGTACAGAATAAAATATCATCGTATTAATATTTCATTTTATACATTATGATAATTCTAATATTATTAATATATTGTTTTTTATTAAATGTATTGTTATTTCTACTCAATAAAATATTTAATTGCGTACATAATGAAAGTAGTTTAAATATATTCTTTTCATTCCCATTGTAATCGTGCTTTGTAATCTTTATTAAATATTGCATACACATCGACTAATATTTCCAGGCTAAAACGTTTGCGATTTCAGAGATTTTTCATTGTTTGAACAATAAAAATCCCTGAAATCGCATAAGTCTGAATACTCTAAATCCAAATGTAATATTTTCGACACTAATAAACAAGAACAATGTGAAGTAATTTCTTCCTGATGTGTCGCTGCACAAAAATATACAATTGCTTTTTTTTTAGTACCCACTTTAATACGATTAAATATGACTGGATGATTACCAGTTTTTATAATATCGGTTCTAGTCAGTGTTGTTAAATGGACATGTTCATTGGTACTTGTTATATCTTTTTATTTTACTATTTATCACATTGAACAATTAACAATATAATAAAAAGGTGTGACAATTACAAATGAACAAGCGTTTAACAATACTGGTTCTAGTAATATCGGTTCTAGTAAGATCAGTTCCAGAAATATCAGTCCTTGTAGTATTAATGGTTACGATAAAATCTGTAATTAATAAATATCAAATAAATCATACGTTTTACTACATACAATTACCTATTAATCAACTTTACAATAGTGAAAAATATCTGACTATTTGTATAAATATTGGATATTTTCTTACCATGAGCGAGACTCCAAGAACAAAATTAGATTTTTCAAGATTCACAACCTTTTTAATATTTAAACTCAAGTGTATACAATTCAATTTAGTCTACATCTAAAATGAAATGCTGCAGTGATTGTAAAGTTGATTGTTTAGATGAACAGTTTGTTTGGGGAGGTCATTGTCACAAAACCTGTATTGAATGTAAAAAGAGTCGTGATCAAAGAAGAAAAGATCAGAATATTCAAACAATCATCACGAATTTAGCTGACCACATTGAATCAACTGACCATGTTGAATCAACCGACCAAGTTGAATCAACTGACCATGTTAAATCAACCGATAATGTTGAAATTATTAGCCAAGAAACAGAACAGATGAATAATGTTGGGTGTGTCGAACTCGATTATACCGAAATAGGTGACTTTATTGCAAATGAGATCCAAGAGTTAATAGAAAATGTGAATACCGATAATGAAGTTAACGTGATCTACAAGACACGATTTTTAGTAAAAATGAATGTAAATACTCAAAATATGACAGCAAAAGAAATTGCTGAACTTATCATTATTGAAATTGAAAACAGGGATGATTATTCGTGGATGTAAGTTTAGTGTATCCTTCTATTATTTTTTATTATATTTATTATTATTTTTTTTTATTTTCTATTTTTTTTTATTTTTTAATTTTTTTTTTATTATTATATTATTTTTTATTTTATTTTTTTTATATATTTATTTTTTTTTATTTATATATTTATTTTTTCATTTTTTATTTCTCTTTTTTATTTTTCCTCTTTTTTGCTTTAAAATTCGTACTAATCAAAGTTATCAAGAAGCAAACCTATCAAAAAAATTTGGTAACACGGTTGGCAAGTTCACTTACCTGTGTTGCAGTCAAGAAAAGCACAAAGTGAAGATTATAAGGAATCTAACCGTAAGCGGTATGAGCGTTATAACTGTATGGGTAAAATCACAGTATGCATCGATACAATCCTCAGTGTTGCAAAGGTGAATATTCACTATGAATCCCTTCATCAACGTCCAAATATTTGTGCTAAGATGCCTGATGATCTACGAGAAGAGATTAGTAAGTTTGCACATCTTATCACAGCTCAATTGACAAGCCATCTACGATTCAAAGGATTCGATCTTTCCAAATATTCGCACAAGCGTATATACTATTGAAAGACTAAAGCAAATAAGAATGTGTATCAGCGTCATGATGATCAGGTCGAATCTTCACGCAGGTTGCTTGACGAACACATAGATCAGGGTTTCAATAAATGCCTGGACTTACAAGATTTGGAATCCACAGCCTTTGCTTTTACCACTTCGTTGCTAGAGAAAATCAATAACTTCAAAATACAGATTAATGAGATTTATATGGATGCCACATATAGAACTGCACGTGGACGTTATGAGCTTTATGGCATTGTCACTGACGTTGATGGTGCAGGTTTTCTCATTGCTTATCTTGTAATGGATACAACTAAAGCCAAAGATACAAACACCAGTATGGGAAAACGTAGTATCATATTAGAAGACTTTCTGGCAGCTATTAAAGTAAATTATATAAAATTATATTAATAAGTTT